TCCCTCCACCCTAATCTCTGCATCTGAGGCAGCCACTGGTGCCGCCTAATGGCAGGGTCATTTGTTTATGGCTAGGGTTTAGTGGGTTTTCTTCTAGAAACTCTGTGCCCTCAGCATGCTGTAGTTAGAAGTGTCCTAACCCCTGTACAAAAGATGTGATATTTAGTTTCGTTATACAGAATCATATGGTGTGGAGAAATCTGAAACTGATCTGTGAAAAACATAGTCCTGTAATCTGTGGGTGAGTTGGCAGTGGAAGTGCCTGTAGGTCAGGTTAGACTGAAGTTGCTCAGGAAATGACTGAGGGCTTTGGATTGACTCTTTTCTCCCATCCTCCAGTGAATGACCTGACGCAAGGCGTGGCTTGGCACATCCTGGTTCAGACTGTCTGCATCTATGCAGCCCTCAAGTTTCTCCAGGGAGGAGGTGCTGGTAAGTCAGTATTGTGTGGAAGCCACGTGGATATATATTCACATGTGCTCATGTTTGCTTGGACAGTGCTCTGGGTGACCATCATCAACCCTCACCATCTCTTTGCTCTGTGAGAAAGCAGATGATTCTTTTCAGCTGAACCTGTGGCTGTGCTTTTCACATCTCTTCATGTACCAAAATAGACATATTTCATCTCTGCAGGCCAGAGGGAGGCCAGTTTTTCCACAAACACCTACATCTGCTTGGGCTATGTTAACTTATGAATTTTCCCTGAGAAACCTGCTTTTTCAGATTCCAGGACCCTTGAATTTCACTCAGTGTTCTTTTCCATGCTTGCCTACCCCTCACCATAGCATTTGGCTTAGCTGTAATGCAAAGTAAGGTATGTGTGTCAGTGTAGCATATTGTCTCGACCATGGATTTCTAAGTTCCCTCTCTTCTTATTTGTTTATTATAACTTACAATATTATACTTCTGGTCTCTCTCTCCCTCTCTCTCCCTCTCTCTCCCTCTCCCCTCCCTCCCTCCCATGATTCCACCAAATGTTTCTTGTTGCAGATAGTGCCACTCTGGCATCAATTTGTATGTGCATGGACTGTGTCACGTCAGAACTGCTTTACAGCAACCCTAATAGGGCTTTCAAATTTAAGTGAGACATTTAGGAGGTTGTTTTACCATTGCCATATACTGCCCAGTGATTTTCCATGCTAAGTGGGGATTCAAACTAGATCTCCTGGTTCCCAGTCGATAGCTCTGTCCAGTACACCCCACTGACAGCAGAGAGGGTTGATATTGGAAGTTCTTGTGTGTCTGTGAGGATTTGTGTCCAAAATAAGAGTTCCATCTGTTGCACAGGGTTAGACCCCTTAACAGCTCAGTGTTTCTAATAATGACATGCACTTTCCCCAACCCCTGTTTCTTCTTATCCTGCAGCTCTGCCATACAGTCTGAAAAAGGGAATTCTGAAAGAATGGGCTCGGTTCCCATTGTGCAAGCTCAGCTTGTCAGTAATCTGACCAAGAAAGAATGGGAAAGAAAGGCTGTGTGGCCCTTCTACACAATCCAGACATCAGGATGGCTAATAATTTTGCAGGATCCCTAAAATTTGAAAAGTGGTATATTTGCAGTTCAGCAGGACTTCTTTAGTCTGAGCATTGCGGTGCTTGAAGGGGGTAGGGGAGAAACAGAAGAGTCTAAGAATCATCCTGAGCCTGTACTGAAGTGTCAGGATCTACATTGCAGTAAACTGTTGGAAGATAGAGGCTGCACCCTTTCATAATCAGCTAGTGGTATCAGATGTCATCTCAGGCAGTGTACCCTGTTTCCTTGAAAATAAGACCTAACGTGAAAATAAGTCCTAGTATGATTTTTCAGGATGCTCATAATTTAAGTCCTACCCAAAAGTAAGCCCCAGTGAAGTGATTTCTGTCCTGAACCTCTGTAGTCTCTACCACTATCACAGAATTGGCCTATAATTCTGCTTGTTGCTGAGTCTCCCTTGAACCTAGGTAATGATCATTTGGGGAGAGAGGTTTTTCTCACCCCTTTCCCATCCTGTATGGCAGAGCTAGGGACTGGACTCCAAAGGATGTTATGCCTCTTGGTAGCCTCTCCTGACCCTCTTTTACTCTTCCTCACATTTTAGGAAACATTAAGCTGTTAACAGCTCTGCCCCCTGTGTAAATGAAAGAGTCCACAGGGAAAGATAAATTAGTACCAGAGGAATATTCACAAACCCACCCCCTAGGATTCATTTGGCTTCAAAGGAATTAGAGTCCTTGGAAGCTTCTAATATTGTGGAGTGGGAAAAGGGACAGAATAAATTTTACTCCTCCAAGATACAAGTTATACAGGGGGGTATAGAGGCTTAAACAAGTCAGTTTTTTACACACACACAAACACACACACAAAATTTTCGTTCTTCCTGCCGTCAGCTGTGTTAGTCCCCCGAATAATCTGTCACTCAGCAGTTAATAAGCCCCAAATGATTTTAGGCATAGGTCTTTTGATCCTTTGAGGTTTTCTTTTTCCTTTAGTCCAGGGGCTCCCAAGCTTGGGTAACCCGGGGGTTCTTGGACTGCAATTCCTAGAAATCCCGGCTAGCACAGCTGGTGGTGAAGGCTGCTGGGAATTGCAGTCCAGAAACACCTGGGCTACCCAAGATTGGGAATCACTGCTTTAGTTTACAAGGAGATGTACTTCAACGTAACTGGAAATCTTGTTTGCTGGAAGTGAAGGCCTGACCGACAGGAGAGAAGCAGCCCATTCTTGGCTCCCTCCAAGACAGCCCTTAAATAGGTGAATAAAATTCTGGATAACGTCGGTCTGTGCTTCAGAAAACCTGAAGCCTCAAGAACAGCAGTATAAAATATGTGGCCTTCCAAAGGTTGATGGATTACTACTCCTGTCAGTGTTAGCTAGCATAGCCAATGCAAAGGAGTGCTGGGAGTTGCAGTCCAGCAATATCTGGAGGACCATATCTTCCCGATCCTTGTTCCATAAGTAATGGGTCATTTTTTTTTCTGGGTTAGGCCTTTCACAGACAATGATGGTAGAGGTGTTGGTTTTCATTCATGTCAATCTCCTTTCTGTAGGCTCTACCGGCTTCATCAGCAACATGCGCACTTTCCTCTGGATCCGGGTGCAACAGTTCACTAGCCGTGAAATTCAGGTGCAGCTTCTCAGGCACCTCCACGGCCTGTCTCTGCGCTGGCACCTCGAGCGCAAGACAGGGGAGGTGCTGCGCAGCGTGGACCGAGGCACTAGTAGCATCAACAATCTGCTAAGGTACAGGGGCGCTTCTGGCTCACAGGAAATCCATCAGTATCATTGGCAGCGCTTGGAGTGCCACTGTCCCAATCACACAGCCAAGCTGGGCATGCTGGTGGGAGGATTCTGGTAGACCAAAGGAATGAGTCCTCCAGGTTCTGAGACTTGGGCAGCTGGCTCAGAGGTGCTGGTTTCCATGCTTTCTTTTCCTCTCCATGCGGGTGGCCAGTGGGGGAGTCAGAGGGGTTGAGTTTTGGCCTGTCTGTCATGTGACCTGACTTTCTGGCACTCCTGCCCTGCAGCTACATTGTGTTCAGCATCTTCCCCACTGTGGCCGATATCATCATTGCTATTGCGTATTTCACCACAACCTTCAGCGCCTGGTTTGGTCTCATCATCTTCCTCTGCATGAGCCTTTACCTTGGTGAGTGTTTGGAGAGTGAAGTAATAGGGTGGGTGGAGAGGGAGGGGATTCCACTCTCTCAGCTGGCCTCCAAGGTAACTCCACAGCTTGTGTTCGGCGTGTCTTGAAATCTGTGGAGTGGAAGATGGGGAGTGAGGCAAGGATTTTCTTTCATGAAAACTGCATCCACTCTGTAAAATGCAGAAACAGAGCACCTTATGCAAAGCAAGCAGATTTCTGCAGATATGTATGGTTTGCACTGCATCTTAAGCTTGTCCAGACTAAGCTCTCATGATTTAGTCCTATTTAAATAATAATCCCCCTGGTGGGACGTGGTGGCTGATGGGACATGGTGGCTGGTGGGACGTGGTGTGGCTGGTGGGACATGGTGGCTGGTGGGACGTGGTGGCTGGTGGGACGTGGGGGTGCTGCGGGCTAAACCGCAGAAGCCTGTGCTGCAGGGTCAGAAGACCAAGCAGTCGTAAGATCGAATCCACGCGATGGAGTGAGCGCCCGTTGCTTGTCCCAGCTCCCACCAACCTAGCGGTTCGAAAGCATGCAAATGCAAGTAGATAAATAGGGACCACCTCGGTGGGAAGGTAACAGCGTTCCATGTCTAAGTCGCACTGGCCATGTGACCACGGAAGATTGTCTTTGGACAAAACGCTGGCTCTATGGCTTGGAAACGGGGATGAGCACCGCCCCCTAGAGTCGAACACGACTGAACAAAAATTGTCAAGGGGAACCTTTACCTTTACCTAAATAATCAGAACTTAAATTATGACTATCTTGCCCCATGATTTTAGTGAAACTGAAACATGCCTCTCTTTATCTGGATAGAACTCACAATATTTTGAGATATCTATAATTTATGCAGATTAAAGATGTTCACATAGATTTGCTTGTTTCTCATATTGCTTCCTACTGCTCACCATAGAATAGGTGCAGGATATTGAACTCAGCTCATCCAGGTCTATACCCATGGAGTAGAGGGGGAAGCAGCAGAAAAGGCTCAAACACTCCAAACATCCTTCTCTTCTCTGTTCCTAGAGCAGAGCTAGGCTGGCCATTGATTTCGCTGTACACTCTCCCTGTACGCTTATCTCCTAGTGAAACTTGTGCCTGCAAATATTGCACCTTACTTATGTTTCACTTAACTGTCCTAGCCACCCTCACAGTCAGATAACTCAGTACTAAATTTCTTGGCTTTGGGTCTAAGTTCAGCTGTCCATTCCTTATCCTCCCAGGTTTGGGCATATCACTATGTGTACTAATTTCACATTTCAGATTCCTTTATTACAGTCAACAGATTAGATAAAGTAAGTGTACTGCCTGAATGCTTTCAATCTACCTTTGTAATGAAGAAATGTGGCTTCTTGTTTTTCCCTCTCAAAGCTAAAAGATGCATTGTTTAGGTTACTTTTGTAAAGAACTTTCTCTGTCAATCTGTCTCTTGTGTTCAGACAGTGCTGGTTGTGGGTCAAAGTAGAGAGAATTAAAAGAGCTTCCTGGAATACCTGTCTGTATTTGTACCAGTTGCTGTAGTAACTTTGGGTCTCTTCCCTTCCACAGCATTGACCATTATATTGACTGAGTGGCGAACAAAGTACCGCCGGGACATGAATACTCGTGACAATGAGGCCAGATCTCGTGCAGTTGACTCGCTTCTCAACTTTGAGACGGTACTCAGAACTTCCACACACTATGGCTGACATGTGGGGAGATCTTGTGGGCAAGGAATTGACCTTATTGGCTGGCGTCTTTACTAAAATAGTTTTTGTTCCAGATTTTTATTTAATGAAAGAGGGGAGTCACCAGCTCTTCTGAAGCTGAACACTGAAGTTGGGTGGATGTCTCTCCATTGTGAAGGGAGACTGGGTGGCTTAGAGTACTGGAAGACCCTCTTGGCACTAACCAATCCTCCTTATGGTTTGTTGCAGGTGAAATACTACAATGCTGAAAACTATGAGGCTGGTCGCTTCAATGATGCCATTGTTAAATATCAGGTATAGGACAATCGATATGTGGTGTTGAGACTAATTTCTTCTGGATCTTTGTGCTGTTTGTTCAGACAGGTCCTTTCTCCACTCTCCAAGGACATAATTCTTGGGGGGAAAAAATCACTGTATGTGAACACCCAGAAGAAAAATACAGTGGTGCCCCGCATGACGACGACCCCACAGAACGACAAAATCGCATGACGATGACTTTTTGCGATCACTATAGCGATCACAAAATGATGTTTCCTGTGGGGGGGTTTCATTTGATGACAATTAGGTCCTTGCTTCGCGAACCCTTTGTTCGCAAAACAACGATTTTTCCGGCTCCGCAAAATGGCTGCCCTGTGTTTTCCAGACCCATGCTTCGCAGGGCAGCCATTTTAACAGCTGATCGGCGCTCGGAAAATGGCTTTCCCTATAGGTGATCTTTGCTGGACGACGAGGTAATTTCCCCATTGGAACAGATTAAATGGGTTTCAATGCATTCCAGTGGGGATTTTTTTTCGTATGACGACGATTTCGCTTAACAGCGATTTTCCTGGAAGGGATTATCGTCGTCATGCAGGGCACAACTGTAATAAAATGTTAAAATACTCCCAATATCCTAATAAATAAAAATGTAACAAAAAGGGGGCAACTATCAGATGGCATCTGAAATAATATGAACTCAACCCAAATTACAATGGACTATAACAAAATATAACAAATACAATAAAAGTATTTATTACCATCTTGGTAACTGTCCTCTGAATATGTTCTAGCCTATCAATGTCTCTCTTAAATGGTGATGCCTAGAACCGGATGAAGTATCGCAGAGGTCTGACCGAAATGGAATAGAATGGCATTGTTTTGATGCATTTTTTTAATGTGGTGGGGTTGCTGGGCATCTGGTGGGCGCCCTGCAGGCTGTGTCCAGTGTATGCCAAGTGGCCCATTTTCTTTTCCCTTCTTTTCAGGTCTCAGAATGGAAAGTCAATGCATCGCTGGCATTCTTGAACCAGACGCAGAACCTAATAATTGGATTGGGACTGCTCTCCGGATCGCTACTCTGTGCTTACTACGTAACAAAGAGGAAGCTCCACGTAAGTTTCCACTCTCTAATGTGCTAGAGGCTTCCTTGACTGAAATCCCTGCCAAAAAGGAATGTGCCTCTAAGAGCTTGCCTGTACAGTGGACCATTGATTTACAGACAGCTTGACTTACAGACCTTTTGAGTTACAGACTTCTCTGGCCGCAAAATTTAGGTTTGACTTGCAGCCTGAGAATTGACTTACAGACCAGAAAAAAACCAAAATGGAACAAAAACGGCCTGTTACGGGATTAATCGGTTTTCAATGCACTGTAGGTCAATGGAGACTTGACCTACAGACTTTTTGACTTGAGAACCGCCTTCCAATACGGACTAAGTTCTCAAGTCAAGACCCCACTGTATGTCACACCGGCCACATGGAGGCCACTGCCTGTAGAATGGCAGAGTACATTCTGTTATGTTCTGTTGCATGGAGAGTTTGCATGCCATTGACAACCAGTTCTGCAAAAACTAGCAAAAGCTCAGAAGTCCTTTATAATAGAGGTGGGCAAATTAGGTGGGTTGAGCAGTCAATGTTGCCTTCTTAAGACCTCCTGTGGCCTGCATTTCCACTGGAAATTTGATTTCTTTGATTTTTCTCCATTTTGCCCCAAAAATGGAAACAGAAGCACATATCTGATATCAGGAAAAGAACTGGAAGACCCAGATGCATATATTAAAGCAAGCCCCTATACCTTGCTTTAAAGGTATAGGGACCTCCAAGAGTGATTAATTTCTCCTTTTTGGAATTCCTCCCTACTTCCCATCAGCTAAGAGGGGGACTGGATCGAGTTCTGGGACCAATGAAACTAGGGGATGGAGGGTTGCATGGGCTGTACTTTGCCTGTACCTGCCCGACACAATAAAATCAAGTCAGCATGTAGAAAAGGACAATCGCTCAGCCTGTTACTACAGCTGCATCTGTTAGTTTTCGGGATGCAAGTGATATCTCTATACAAGCATTGATCTCTTTAGAATGTCGCCACGGACACACAAGGGTGAATGTTTCTCAACACTGTAGCTTCTGCTAGCTCTCTGATATCTGCAGGACATTTGTAGGTCGAGAGGGATGTAGTGAAGTCTGACAATCTGGATGGCTTGTAGAAGGGCTTGGATAAGTTCATGGATGGAAGAGCTATCAGAGGCTACCCTTGCATATAGATTCCCTCCAGTAGTGGAAGCAGTGTTCTCCTAAATACTAGTTGCAATAGAAAGAAAGAAAGAAAGAAAGAAAGAAAGGGGATCATATCGTGCTTCTCTCCTCCCTGTAGCTTTCTAGAGTCATGTGGCTGGCCACAGAGGAAGAGAATTCTGGATCAGATGGCCCTTTGGTCTGATGCAGAAAAGCTCTTACAGTTCTTTGGAGAACTATGGAGGTGGATGGGCTTGCCAAGCAAGAGCCATGAGGACATGTAGAATATAGTCAGGTGGAGTTCTGCAAAGGGATGTATGAGGATAACAAAGCTTTGCCATGTCTGAAAAGTGCTTGTGAAAACTAATTAGTGCTCACAGAATTCAGTGCTAAACAGAGACCAAAGGTAGGGCTCAACTCATGCTGAGAAAATGGGCAGCTGAGGGTACAGAAGATTAAAACAAAAACAGATTGGAGAAGCAGATCTGTCTTTGAGAACAAAAGCTATGGCAAACAAGAGCCCAGGCCGGAAAAGGTTTGTCACCAATTAAGAGATCTAAGAGCAGCAGGGTGGGGGAACTCACCAAATGGGAGCTAGTTTCCACCAACATCAGAAGAAAGAGACCAGCATGTTTTGGGTTTGTGTTCCAGATGTGAAAGCACACATTCCCACATGGAATATAATCCTAATGGTGGGAGACAAGAAGAGGTTTAAAAAAAAACAGAAGAGGAGGTTAAAGGGGGGGGACTGTACTCCTACATTAAGGTGAAAAGAGTTAAATGTAAATTGTAAAGAACGAGAGCTTGGTTTAAAGGCCAACAACAACAAAAAGGTTTTCTAGCTTTAAGATACATTGGGTGCCCCACAGTTTTCATAAACCAGAAGCAACTTAAGAGGCATGGAACAACCATCACAGAAGCAGAGAACATACCTTCCTTATTTTTTTGTTTCTCAGATTAATATTTCTGGCCCTCATGATTCAGGGTTGGGATGGGTGGAATGTGTGTTGTGAGTTACAAAGACACAAATGTAAAGTCTTCCACTACATGTGACCACATGGAAATGCCAACATTGTTTCTCTCACCTGCATTTCTCTTCCCTCCAGGTGGGTGACTATGTTCTCTTTGGCACATACATCATCCAGTTGTATACTCCACTGAATTGGTTTGGCACTTATTACAGGTAACCTTATAGTTAAGACTGTTTTCCTCAGGATGTTTCAGATAGAAATGTGTTGATGCTATTGGAGAGATCTTTTTCTCTATATACAGAAAAAAATGGAAAACTGAGTTATAAACGTCTCAGCAAATTACCTAACTTTCCTGCTTCCATGATTCAAGTTTGTTTGTAACAGGCAAATGCCACTCAGAGGGCAGTGGAAATCTGTGGGTTTTTTTTTAATCACTCAATTTCCCTGAGTGTTGAAATTAAAAGATATAATTGCCATGTTGGGGTGGGGGTGGGGAAATGGGGACAAGTATAATTTTATATTCAGTAGCAGCTTATAATTTTGTAACTCTTCCGTATCCTTTTTGCCTTATTGTTATATATATTAAAATAGGATGTTCAGGCTGAATGGAAATAACCAGACAGTTCAGTAATGTAGAATATAATCCTAAATTTGTACTTTGTCCTTATGTGGGCTAATCTTGACAGTACACACTGAATATTAAGTTCCATATTGGGTTTCTCAAAAGTAAAGTCAATTACAAGTCACAGAACATGGTTATTCCTGTTTCCTGCAGCTCTGTCCTAGCAAAGACAACAGTGGTTGTTCTGGGTTTTTCAGGCTCTTTGGCCGTGTTCTGAAGGTGGTTCTTCCTGACGTTTCGCCAGTCTCTGTGGCCGGAATCTTCAGAGGACACCAGGTTGCTGTCCTCTGAAGATGCTGGCCACAGAGACTGGCGAAACGTCAGGAAGAACAACCTTCAGAACACGGCCAAAGAGCCCGAAAACCCCACAACAACCATTAGATCCCGGCCGTGAAAGCCTTTGTGAATATAAAGACAACAGTCTTTTGCTCTCCTAGTTACATGCATTTGTTTTGCTTGAGCCCTTTACTGTTCCAGCAATGAAAGGAGAACATCGTTAAAGGTCCAGTCCTATGGTCTTTGGAACTCCTTCCTAGTGCTGTAGGAATAATTGGATCTCCCTTACCCAGATCTTGCATAAAGTTCCAGCTTCAGAGGTGGAGATCAGAGAACTTACACAAGAAATTTCTGTGATGATTCATTCCAACCAGATTGAAACTGTGATCTTGGAGGGGTGTGTGGCCGTGGGAAGGGAGGGGGAAGATGAGAGCCCAATCGTGCCCTGACGAAGTGGTGGGGATTAAGAATGACACCGGAGCTGATCTGACCTTTTTCTTTCCCATTGTTTGCAACAGAAGGTGGTTGTTTTCAAAGTTCTTAAAAAGCCCCTTGGAAGGGGGAAACAGCCAAAAATCTACTCCAAGTTTGTTTGCTTCCCCTCTGCTGGCAAGATCCCGTGCAGGGATTTGCATAAATCTGAGCTTCTAAGATGGAACATTTTGCCCATCATTCTCCTTTCTCTTGGGAGTGTTTCCTAAGTTTCCCTTAGCCCTAGGAAGCTGAAATCGGACTTAGGAATTGAACCCTTCTGTAGCATTTGGGGTTTTGTGTGCATAAAAAGTGTTCTTTTTCCCCTAAAAGGTTGGGTTGCCCTCTTGCTTCCCTTTCCTCTTAAGTATCGGAAATGACTACAAAGGAGGTGTGATATCTTTTAGTGTATGAACATGTGTTAATGGTTTGGGAACATTTGCCGCTGGAGGAGGCGTGACAAATGCGGCTTGCTTTCATGCTTGAGGTCTAATTTATTGCTGTATTTGAGAATGTGAGTACATGGCTGTCCCACCGTCTTCTCTTTTCATGCCAGAGAGTGAGTGGGATCGTCCATTATTCTACTTCTCTCCCCCCCCCCGCTCCCCAGCCTAACCCAGTTGCTTGCAAATGGTACACTGGAAGCTCAATTTCTCCTTTCAGAATGATCCAGTCTTCCTTTGTTGACATGGAGAACATGTTTGATCTCTTCAGTGAGGAACAGGAGGTAACTTCAAGCTATACCTCTGCTGTGATTCTACACAGATGTGCTCCCATCCTGTTGTCCCTCCCTGGACCCAAAGAGACACAGCGCTGAGGTCCTATCCCTTGTTGTTTTCCCCACATGACATCAGGTAGTAGGGCAAAAATGGAGATGGTTACATTTGTTTATCTGTTATGTAATATTCTCCCTTTTTACCAGTAAGCTCAAGGTTCTTCTCCTCCCCACTTTGTCCTTACAGCCATCATATGCTTGTTCTGTTCTCATAATCATTGGCCCAAGATCACCTGGTGAATTTCAGTATAGCAGAATATGGACCAGAACCTGGATCTCCTATGTTCCGGTTCTACAGTCTGACCATTAAACCACAGTGGCTCATGAAGTCTTGCATTTCTGCTTTGGTCCAGGTCCAACTGTTGAAATAAAAAGTAATTGTTTGCTTGAAAACAAAGGTGGTTTACAGAGAGTTAATATATGGGATCATGCCTTCAGACCACAGTCATGTGTCTCTTAACATGTATTAGATTATTGTATGGAGGGTAAGTGTTCAGGAGCAAAGCCTCATCCTCCATTTTGAGACGAGGCATTTATTTTGACTGCTGGAATGCTGCCATTAAGACCTGTTCCTTAACCTTCATGAATTATATACCTGGAACAGGGCTGACCTTATGATTAGACCATTTTGAGGGAAGGGAGTGGAAAGATAATACTGAAGAACAGAGCTATGGAGACAGAATAGCCTATTCTGAATCCTTCTGTTCATGGAGATTGTGCCATTGCCAGTATCAAAACAAGTTCTTCTTCGTGGCCTCTGTGAATCACACTATGGGTAATCTACACATGTGTGGAGCCTCATCGGAATACTCTAGAGCTTCTGCAGTAGCAAAGGAAAATACATTAGCATAGACCCCTCCCCCCTGGTATATGTACCTTGGCACCAAGGCTCTCCCTTCAGTTTCTTTCAACCGCCACATTGAGAAGCCTCAATTGTTGCTTCTGTGAGAAATCTGAAAATGAAAGTAGGAAAGCTATTGAACTTTATTTATTATTGTTATCCTTATTATTTTCAAAACAAGATACGCTCTGGCCTTAGGGCCAAAGTGTCTCCATCAAAACAAGATATGCTCTGGCCTTAGGGCCAAAGTGTCCCCCACCTTTCCATTGTTTTCTTTTCAAAACCAGTTCTTGGTTCATGGCCTTTTCAGGCCCATTTAAAAGCTGCATAGCCTGCGATAACGAGATCCCGCTCTCTGATGGCTTCCCTAAATGCCTTTTTTTGCCTCAGTGAGGCCATCAAATTGCCTTGTCCCCTCACTGCAAAAACTTTAAACGCAGAGTTCTCCGCAGTTGCCTCTCTAGACTCAAGCTTCAGCTCTGGGAGCAATCCCTAAAGCCATGGATGAAGCTGCTTCCAAAGCAACAAAACAGCGCCTGTCAGCTACTCCATATTGTTCCAATCGATAATCTACTCTGCCCTCAATATCGACGGTCATGCGAGTGCACAAAGTCAAACATTCGACGTTGAAACCCTCGACAGCGAAAAGAGCCTCTAAGAGAAAACCGTGCATGGAAACATCACCTCCGAAGAAGGCTAGTTCCTCAGCACTGGAACCGTCACCTCCAAAAAAGGCTAGGTCTTCGAAATTGAAGCCTTCCAAAACTGTTTCCCCAACTCCACAACCACCAGAGTCTAGAAACCTCATCTACGTCGGTTCTCTTTCAGATGAGGAGGCACTTCCACCTCATCAACCTCGCCATCACAGTCTCCCGAATAGGAAAAGCATGTTGATTGACTCAAGGCTTCCCCTAATAGCCCACGACAGTCCTTGGGCTCTCTGAGTGAATCTTCACAAACTTCCTCGTCAGACATGCATGGCACTAAATGCAACCAGAAACTGTGCCTTGCTCTGCCCCTGCAGGCCTACCACCTCGGCCTCCGGCACATCAGCAAAGGCATCAAGCCTATATGAGCATCCACTTGCCTTCTCGCAGGGAAAGAGCTCACACTCAGCACCATCATTGGGATGCCGTTTGCCCTGATCAGTGCCTAATGGAGAAGCCCTCCAAACACTATCGGACAGTCGCTCTTCCTGGTCCGGCGGCACTACCCCTGTGGGATGTCTCTGCTAGGGAGCCTTCGGTGTCGAAGTGATCTTACTACCATGATTGCCCAGGACTACCTGGCACCTCTTATCTGCCAGCACCTAAGAGCCCCAACCAAGCCGATCAATACTCCTCAGCTCCGGGTATGTTGCAGCACAGCAAGTTACTATTTTCTTCTCCATTAGGAGGACCACAAGCGATCATCCCGCTCAGCGTCACCGGCATCAGTCTATTCCACCATAATACAGTGTGGTCCATCGATGCCTTTACCACCTTCACAGCTCCCTGGACACTGACAATAACCTCCATCTTGACACACCTCAATACCAACCCTTTCGATATTTATGATCCTTGATATTGAACGCTGTCCATGGACACACCTTCCATGTCGGGGCAGTTGAGGACCCTCACTATTGACCCATGTCTTAAGGACGGTCCTTTGATATTGATACTGATCAAAGACCCTCGCTATCGACCCATGTCCATGGATGGACCTTTGACATTGATACTGATCAAAGACCCTCGATATCGACCCCTGTCCACCGACACCCCTTCAACATCAACAGCTCAGTGTTGACACCAATCTTTTAAAGACCAGCCGCTCAACATCGATATCAATCGATAGTTGATTGACTCGACGCGTGGTGCTGATCCATCTGATCATGCCCTCTTCTCTCCTGAGCACAGCTAGATATTTTTCGACCAAACCAGCATCATCCCATTTGGTGTTACATCACTGGATGTTGACCTGGCAGACACAGACCCTCCATCACCAGTAGAGGATTTTCAAACCTATGCTCACTAATGATTTGTATGGCCATAAACCTCGACCTACAAATCCATAAACCCACTACTGGAGCAGCAGATCATATTTATGATCCCATCTCTAAAGATACTATCACACCGGTCCATATCTCCATGCCCTCTTCTCTCGTGAGCACAGCTAGATATTCTTCGACCAAACCAGCATAATTTCATTTGGTGTCAAAACACATAGACAACCTTTATTGAGTACATGATCCGGGCACAGTCTTTTACAGAAACAACCAGCTCCCAATTCCATATTCGTCAAAGCTTCACAATCTCACTCTTGACACAGACAAATACTAATACCACCTAATAAAGACAGCAGACGCATTGACTCCATGGGCAAATAGCTATACTCTTCTGCCGCCTTCACCATGAGAGTTGCCAACTATCAGGGAGCTATGGGCACCTACCAACGTTTTCTCTGGACAATATGTCTATCTTTATTGATGCTCTCCCTGAAGATAAAAGGGTCTTGGCACAACTTTTCAACAAGAGGGTCTTTCAATGGAGAAACAACAGATGCTATCTGCTAGACATACAGTTGATGCCGCACCTGAATCAATAGCTACCTCTGTAGCGCTTTGATGTTTCTCTTAACCTAGAACTGTGGGTCTAGCTGAGGATGCACGTGCGCACATTAAAGATCTCGCATTTGATAGAGTTGATCTCTTCAATGCCGAGACTGATGACATTCTTGAGAATGTTCAGAAAAAGAGGACAACTGCCAGGCCTTTGGGATTCTACCCCACATACCAGCAATGCCCTCAGTGGAATCAGTGGTGCAGCCCTTACACCTCCTATGAAATATTTCAACAAGAACCTCAAAGAAAAACATCTTATGTGCCTTACTACACACAACAACCTTACTGAGCCAAAGCTCGCCAACAGACCACAATTGCGTGCAGTGAGCTTAAGCCTAAGCATCATGTTTGACATCCAACCAGCTGAGATCCCAGTACCACTTCCCACCTCTCCTCCTCCCCTTTGGAAGCATTTACCTACATGGAAAGACATCACTACAGATGCCGGAGTGCTCTCCATCATAAGAAATGGGTACTACATTGAATTCCACCAGCTTCCCCCACCATCACACCTCCATTGCATACTCTACAAAAAGAAATACAGTTGTGCCTCGCATAGTGACGATAATCCGTGCAGCAAAAATCGCTGCAAAGCGATTTCGTCGCTATGCGATTTTTAAAAGCCCATAGGAATGCATTGAAACCCCTTCAATGCATTCCTATGGGCTAAAAACTCACCTTAAAGCGAAAATCCTCCATACGGCGGCCATTTTCACTGCCCGGTATGCGAGGAATCCGTCCCAAAACACAGCAGGCGGCCATTTTTTTTACCCGGCAGCCATTTTGGAACCGCTGATCAGCTGTTGGGAAATCATCGCTATGCGATGATCGGTAGGCGAAGCAGGATACCGATCATCGCAAAGTGATTTTTTCCCATAGGGAACATCGCAAAGCGATTGCAAATTCTTCATCGCTATGCGATTTCGTCGTTAAACGGGGTGCCCGTTAAGCGAGGCACCACTGTATAATTGTTACTGCTCAAGGACGCCATAGAACCAATACCACTACAACATGCAGTCATAGGTTTTTCTCTCGCTATTTCACCATCCCCAAAAAAGATGGAGGCCTTCTCGACATCCTCAACCTCAGGTAGTAAAATCAATACATCACTACCACCAAGGTCCACATGGTTACCCTCAAGTCTGTCCTCCCCTTACTCTGCAGAAAAGACTGGTTCGTAGTCATAGACCTCAGAGACACCTTTTTTTCATGTCTCCATTCCTCCCCTTACTCCGCAGAAAAGACTGGTTCGCAGTCATAGACCTCAGAGACGCCTATTTTTCATGTCTCCATTCACCCTACTTATGCTTCCAACTCAGAACTCAGGCCTACCAATTCAAATGACTTCCATTCAGACTCACAACAACTCCCCGAGTGTTCACCAAATGCATGGCCCCTGTGGCAGCTTACCTCAAACTTCACATCTTCCCTGTACATCGATGACTGGCTGCTAGTTGCATGCTCCCATCACGAAGCACAACGAGATATTCCCTTCACTTTGTCTCTTCTTCAGGATCTTGGCCTTGCAGTAAATCTACACAAATCCAAGTTAAAACCCCTAAGGCTGGTTCATTATATAGGAGCAATTATAGACTCCAAACATGCTCGGGCGTTTCTTCCAACAGACAAATGCCTCAATCTAATCTCCTTACTACGTGCCTTCACTCCTCATGCGCTCATGTCTGCTTTAAGAGTCGAACGTGTTTTAGGCACTGTGTTGTCCATGACTGCTGTGGTTCAGCAAGTTCGCCTCAAAATAAGATAACTCCAGGTCTTGTTCAACCCATTGACAGACTCACCACATATGTTGCTGCGAGTCACTCCAGAACTTGCCTCCGAGCTTGCATGGTGGCACTCCACTCAGAGCCTGACGATGGGACGGCCCTTTCAACAATCCTGCCCACAAATCCAGGTTACTACAGATGCCATCCTTACCGGCTGGGGTGCCCATTGCAAATCCCTGCAAATCCATGCCTGGTAGTCACAAAGAGAGAAACTCCTCCATACGAGTATCAGCGAGCTGGAACTCCTAACACTAATAAAGGCTTGCAGAGCTTTCAAAACCCATCTCATGGGCAAATTGGTTCAGATAGCCGCAGAGAACACCACCATGATGTATTATATTCTCAAATAAGGGGACACTCACTCCCCAAGTCTTTTAAACCTCGCTGTTAACCTGTGGGTATTGTGCCTCTCTCATCACATTTGTCTAATGGCAATACATATAAGCCGGTCAGGACAACAATCTGATTTTCTCAGTTGAAAAAAATCACAAGCCCACAAATGGAAGCTATGTAGATCAATCTGTTTTTCTGTCCCTGTGCAAATGATAGGGCACACTCACCACCAACCTCTTTGGCCTCCCCCACCCCAGTAAACTGGAAATATTTCTCTCCCTGTGCAAATGATGGGGCACACTCACCACTGACCTCTTTGGCCTCCCCCCCGGTAAACTGGAAATACAAGCGTTAACTGCTCCCACACAGGAGCAGGCAAGAACTCCCACGGATACGCATTCATTGGCCATTGGCCCAAGTCACTCATTTACCTGTTTCTGCTATTCCCGCTCTTCCACAAAGTTGTAGTCCGGTTTCAGCAGGACAGGCCCAATACTATCCTGAAAGGTCCATGGTGGCTGCGACAGTCATGGTTCCCAATTCTCCACCAGCTGTCGTCCAACATTTATCACCTGCCCCGTCTACCTCACTTGCTCATACAGAACAAAAATAAAATTCTCCACCCAGATCTCCCTGCTCTTCATTTCGCAGCGTGGAGGATTCAGCCTCACTGATGAATGTCATTCATCATGCAAAGAAACCTTCAACTATGAAGGCCTGTATGTATAAATGGAAAAAATGTCAAGCATTTTTGTAAGCCGCCCCGAGTAGACTTTGTCTAGAAGGGCGGGGTATAAATTCAATAAAAGTAAAAGTAAAGTAAAAGTAAAGACTGACATGGGAAGAAGAGCTGGAGACTGGAGGAGCACCCTCTAATACCTCCTTCCCCT